GGGGGGGGGGGGGGGGGGGGGGGGGGGGGGGGGGGGGGGCTGGCAGGCGGCAGGAGTCCAGACAGTGCAGCGGGCGGGGCTCACCTGGAAGGGTCGATCACCTTGTAGACAACCCCACGGGCCGCTGTGGCACTCGGCACGCCTGTTGACATGAAGTACAGCTCCCCTTGGGCGAGAAACCAGGCAAGGAGTGAGAACACTGCCTGGGGTATGGTCCCGACCAGGCCCCTGACCCTGGGCCCCCCCAGCTCCCCTCAGGCTCTGGAAGGGACCCCAACCTCAGGGAGGTCTGCGTAGCCCTTCAGGGCCCAGAGCTGGAACCAGAGGCCGAGAAAGAACCAGCTGCCGGCCGCTCTGCTCGGACTTAGCCAAGGTCTTGCTTCCTGCTGGGGACCCAGCCCCGCCCTGGTCCCTGCTTGGCCGCACGCCCAGCGCACACAACCTCTGGGCACAAGTGAGGGTCCGCAGCCCAGCTCCCCAGCCTACTGCTACTGGGTGACTCCAGGCACATGTGGCTCCTTGAGCTTCCGCCTCCTTATCCCTAACGCGGGATGCCTCATGGACGAAGGATTGGAGGAGCACAGAGTAAATGCTCAGTCAATATTAGCTACTGTCGTTGCTATGACGGTCATCCTCCAGGATCCGGGTCCCGCCAAGGCCTTGAGGCCAGAGTCTCTCCACTGACCCGAAGGCACCTCCTGGGCAGGTGACGGGCACAAGAGTACATGCTTGGGGGGTCCCTGGTGTGAACCCCAGCCCCTGCACGTAGCCCCGTGGGAGCACCGGTGGCTCTGGGACAGTCCCACTTGGAGCCTCGGTCGAGTCTCCTCGACCTCTCAGGGCCCCTGGCACCACGGATGCTCTCAGTGAACGTGAGCTCTCTCCCTCCTCACCCTCATCCCAGCCCCTGGCTCTCGCTGCCCGGGAAATAGGCTTCTTTATTCCTATCTTATAGAGGCTCAGAGAGGTTAAGTGACTTTCCAAAGTCACACAGCTGGTGAGTGGTGGAGCCAGGCCTGGAACTCAGGAATGTCTGCTGCCCGCAAGCCCTCACATGCAGGACACATGGTAGCTGGGGGGCACAGACACCTCCCATGTGTGATTCAGTGTGATGGTTCAGCCATGCTTATACATCTGCCTTTGCAAGAGGACAGTGAATGTTCTCCCGAAGATGGGGGCGGTCCCCAAGGAGAGACTAAGACAGAGAGGTGAGAACTCTGAGAAAGGCATCTTTGTGGGGACGGGCAGTCAAGGAGGGCTGCATGGGGGTGGGGTCAGAGAATCAAGGCCCAGGAAACCCAGGGATCTCTACAAAGGCAAAGACGCTGGGGGGGCCAACGTGTGTAACTGGGGTAGACCCAGCTTTGATGGGGAGCTGGGGGCTGGGGAGGGCAGCATGCTGAGTGCTCAGTGACCTCTGACTCCCCTCCAGGGGCACCAGCCCTGCTTTGGTGGGGGGCTGGGGTTGGTTAATTGGTCCCCAAGGTGATACAACCGTACCCTGGCAGGACAGTCCCTGCTGGAGAACCCACAGGTACAGACATGAATTTGCTGTGCAGTCTTGGGCTGTCACTTCCCTCTCTGGGCCTCTTTCTCAAGAGAGGCCTCTGGGAGCCGCTGTCCCCACCTAGCTGTGCAGCCCTCACACCTACTCTCCAGCCCCCTGGAGCGACCCAAGTCTCCCTGCACGTGCTGCTCCCTCTGCCTGGAATGCCCTTCTCCGTGGCCTTCCTTTGGCTGACCAAGCTCGAGCTTAGGGCCCTGCTCTGGGAAGCCTCCAGGCGCCAGGTCGGGTGCAGTACCCCCCACCCCCACCTCTGTAAAGGGACAGGCCTGCACCAGGCACACTCCTTGGCCCCCAACCCCATGCATGAGGGGGAGGGGGCCCACCAGCACTGCCCAGCAATACCCAGGGCCACACTGCCCTCTTCTGTGGTGTGGACTGTCTCTGGAGGACACCAGGCCAGCAGAGGTCCTCGTTTTGCAATTTGCAAGTGTCAGAAGAACAACTAGAGAGCTGGAGCCGGTGGCTGGGGGAGGTTTGTTTGTGTTGGACCCCAGGGCTCTGTGCCTTCCCGGGGCAGCCTGCCCAAGCTCCCTAGCACGCTGTCCCTGGGCCGTGTGATTTCGAGCAGGCTCCTCCTGGCTATCGGTTACTTGATGTCATTCAGAGGGCTGAACAGGGGCCCCTTGGGAACTGCACCTTCCAGGCCCTGCCCCTGGGGTGGGGGTGGGGGGCGCACCTCCTTCCAAAACACATTAACCCCCTACTGACCAAAAGAAAGGGCTTTCAAGGCCCAGTGGGCTTGGGAGGGCAGTGGGGGCTGGGGCTGCCCTTTTGAAAATTTAGATTGTGACGGGTGTCATCCAACAAAGGTTTCCCAGACTTGGGCCTGGGGGCTCTGGGCGCTGGGCCCTGCAGGGGATACCCCTCCAAAGGCCCCTGGGTGGGCGTTGCCTAGCAACCCTGCCAAGCATTCCCCAGGCTCCACTGGGGGCCCCTCAGCTTTTGTCCAGGGACAATTGAGCCAAGGACAAAGGCAGGAGCTGGAGCAGGAGCCAGCCTCCATGGCCCCCCAACCGCTCCCCTCCCTCCCTGTTCCTTGCATTGAAAATACAAGAGCCTGAATGGGAACCCACTAACAAGTGGGTCAGCAAAGGGTGTTCAAGAAGGCGGTGTCTACCCAATTTCTGAAGATAATGTGGCTTAATTTTATAGGCCAGATTTCTTGGTCATGAGGAACCCAGGGTAGTAGAGGTCTGGGATACATTCTTCCCCCACCCATCTGCATTTCCACCCTTACAAACCCTTTCCTGGTTGGCTCACTCCCCGGCCTAGAAGCAGCCCTGCAGGGAGTGGGGGGCTGCGACATTGCTCCCACCTTCCAGATGAGGAGACAGAAGCCCAGGATGGTGAGGACCGATGCCCAAGCAAAGTCTCAGGCTACTGCACACTTGCTCCCCAGCCCGGAGGGGGTTTCAGGCCTGAGACTCCATCTCTGGAATCGCACTCAGGCCAGAGGACCCACAGGGTGGGGGCATCAGTCCTAGGCACGCAGCCTGGATGGAGAGGCCTCGGGGCCTCAGCAGTGCTCACCGGCCTCATCCTCAGCAAAGGAGATGATATGAGGGTAGTAGTTGTTAATGAGGCCCGGGAACGCACAGGTCTGGCCTCGACCCATGCAGATCTCGCTGTACCGCCACTGGCCTGTCTCCATGTTCTCTCGGAGGGACATCAGACGCCTGCAAAGAAGCATGAGCCGTGGGGTCATGCCTGGCAGGGTGCCCAGGGGAACCCCACCCACAATCCATCCACCCACTCATATATTATCCATGCATCCAGGACCATACAGCATTTGCAGGATCCAGGGTAAAATATGCATGCAGGGCCCCTTGTTCAAAAAGTACTAAGGATTTCAAGGCAGCGATAGCAGAACATTAAACCAAGTGTGGGCCCTTCTGAGCATGGGGTCTGTGCATCCACACGGGCTGCACATCCGTAAAGCTGGCCCTTGAGGTTCCCTGGTAGCCTAGTGGTCAGGATCCGGTGCTCTCATAAAGCTGGCCCAGCGTGCAATCTTCAATGGGTACCTCCAATGCAGCAGAAAAGGGCAAGGGAAGGAGACCAGCTTGTCCCCTGCCCCCTCTGCTCAGCCCCAGCCACTGACCCACAGGAGGCAGTCAGGAGCTGCAGAATCCTCCAAGGCTGGTGACCAGAAGTTCGTGCAGACTCTGGAGCTGTCTCCACTCCGGAGCATGAGGTGGAGCTCGGGCATCTTCAGAATATGCTGATCTTGCCCTTACTCCCTTCTCCACCTGTCAATCACCAGGTCCTGCTTGGATGTACCCTCCTCTGGGGAGCCCTCCTGACTGCCCCTGCGCTGGGCACCCCCAGCACCACGCATGGGCTCTCTGAGGCCGGACTGGAGTGGACCAAGCATGGGTCTGTCTCCCTGACTCGGGCCCGAGGTGCTTTCAGCTCTGTTGCCCTTACCCTGGCACAAAGCCTGACCCAGCGGAAGGGCTTGGGAAAAGCTAGCAAAATTAGTTGAATCTCTGTGGTCAGGTGACTTCAGCACTCCTGGGGGACAGCAGAGGGGTAAGGGAGAATCAGACATTGAAAGGGAGGCTTCGGGAAGCCTTGCTGGCTCAGTCAGTGGAGCATGTGACTCTTGATCTTGGGGTTGTGAGCTCAATCCTCACGTTGGGTGTAGAGATTACTTTAAAAAAAAAAAAAAAGAGAGCGAGAGAGAGCGCCTGGGTGGCTCAGTCGGTTAAGCATCTGCCTTTGGCTCAGGTCTGCTCCCAGTGGTCCCAGGATCAAGCCCCACAACAGGATCCCTGCCCAGCAGGGCGTCTGCTTCTCCCTCTCCCTCTGCTTGCCGCTCCCCTTGCTTGTGCACTCTCTCTCTCTGTCAAATGAATTTAAAAAAAGAAAAGAAAAGAAACAGAGGCTTCATCTAGACCCATTTCCGGATGGAAAAGCTGAGTAGCAGGGGCAGACCCTAAGGGAAGGGCGGAGCTTGGAGAGGCCCCTGCATCAGAGGCCCAGCTCAGGTTCTCCCTCAGCTCCAGCTGCAGATGTGCTGGCCACAAACCAACCTTGAGCCAGCACCCTGCAAGACATGGGGATTCTCTGGCCAGCCTCGAGCTTCCTTACCTCCTTGTTTTCACTCCTGGGGAACCCTGTTCAGCTTCCTCATGTGGAGAGGCAAGGGTGGGAATAATTTTTTGTTCTGTTTTGGTTTTTCTTTAAGTAGGCTCCATGCCTAATGTGGGGCTTGAACTCACAACCATAAGATGAAGAGTCTCATGCTCTACCAGCTGAGCCTGCCAAGCGCCCCAGGTAGGAATAATTAGGAGTCACCAGATATTGAACGCAAGTGCTGTATGCGTCCTAACTGACCCAGTCCTCAAACCCTAGGAAGCGAGTACTATTATCATCTCCCTTTTACAGATGGGGACGCTGAAGCACAGAGAGGTGACATACCCGACCCAAGGTCACACAGCTTATAAGTGGGCCAGGATCAGACGCAGGCAATCTCAGCTGCATTTTTTTTAAGATTTTATCTTTAAGTAATCTCTACCCCCAATGTGGGGATTGAACTTATGGCCCTGAGATCAAAAGTCACATACTCTACTGACTGAGCCAGCCAGGGAGCCCCCTGAACTTAAAAAAAAAAAAAAAAGTCTTTACTTGGGGCGCCTGGCTGGCTCAGTCAGTAGAGTATGTGACTCTTGATCTCGGGGTCATAAGTTCAATCCCCACGTTGGGGGTAGAGATTACTTAAAAACAAGATAAAATAAAATTAAAAATGAATAAATAAAAGGAAAAAAGTTAATTATTTTTTAAAAAATCTTGACTTATTTTTTGAAGCAATTTCTATACCCCACATGGGGCTCGAACTCATGACCACAAGATCAAGAGCCACATGCTCTACCAACTGAGCCAGCCAGGCGCCCCTCAGCAGCACTTTTAAGCCTTGTGCCAAGTGTATGTCTTCCTAGGGCCTCTAGGGCCCTCAGTTTTCTCCTCTGTACAATGGGAGAATGAGGTGGTCATGAGGCTCCACAGCTCTCTTTGGGGAAGAGTCTGACCCACAGGCTTAGGAGATATGTTCTCTTTTCTCCCTCCAAAACGTGTTGGGGTGCGACACATCCCAACCCCCACCTCATCCAAACACACACACACACACACACACACACACACACACACACACACACACCCTTTAGGGGCTCAGTGGGTGGGGAAGCACTGCCATAGAGTGTGGGGATTGGGCAGCAAGGCGCCAGAGGCCCCCATGGTCAGACCCTGGCTGGAGCACCAGCTACCCCCTCCCAAGCAGAATGACCTCTCCAGCCTCTTCCGGACGAATGCTCCCTGGAACCCCAGTCAGTCAGTGCAGTGACAGACACGTCCTGGATTTCCCCAGAAGCCAGGTGGCCCAGAGTCCGTCGAGGAAGGCGTTCATGTTCCCCCCACCCCCACCTTCCACCTCTGCCCTTCCTGCCCCTCGGAACCTCAGTCAGGCCCGGAGCCCATGAACCTCGGGTGGGAGGGGAAGACCATCGGATCTGCACTTAAACAAGCATCCCGTCCTTAGTCGGGAGCCGTGCCTTCATGGTGCCGCCTGAGGCAGCCAGCAAGGCTCAGGAAAGGTATCAGGAGAAGAGGGGGCGGGCTGGGTGTTTGCTGAGATGTGACTCCAGACTTCTTCCCAGAGGAGGACACCTGCTTGGCTCCGGCTGGGCGGTTCGGGTCGGAGAGCAGCTACGGTGGGCTTGCACCTGCGCATGCTCACACGCACAGCGCACCTGTACTCCGCTTTTTACAGAAAGCCAGGGGCAGCAGCGCTTTAGCGCAGGGGCCACTTACCCACTCATAAAATCACCGAAAATGTAGAGGCCGTTCAGGTTGGGGTACTCACAGCCCCGGTACACATAGCCTCCCGTGACCGACTTGCCCAGTTTGTGCGGGTAGGCGAAAATCGGCAGCACGTCATCTGCACAGGGGGGAGAAGCTGGGATGAGCTTGAGGGTCAGCCCCTCCCCCGCAAGGAGCTGGGCAGGTGGTCTGAGTCTGGAGGGGCAAGGGGAGGTGAGGTCACCGGGAGGGCCCGAGTTGGGGGCCCCAGAGTGTCACGGACGGAGGAAGGTGCTTACAGCTTGGGTAAAGCAGGGCAGAGGGAGCATGGGTTTGCGAGTATGGGGGTGGGTGGGGAGATCCAGGATGGGCGATCCACGGGGTGGGGGACGGATCCAGGGGCGTGGGGGGCAGAGGGAGGCGCTGGGCACAACCATGGGGGGGATGCAGATCCGGGGTGGTGGGCCCCCGGGGGCGCGGAGAGGGTCGGGGGTGGCGGTCACCGAGGGAGGTGTTGGCGCACAGCTTGCGGTCGTAGCACTCGAAGCCTTCGCGGGCGCGCCAGCCGTAGTTGCGGCCGCGCTCCACCAGGTCCACCTCCTCGAACTTGTTCTGGCCCACGTCTCCGCAGAAGAGGCGCCCGCGGCCCGCGCCGCTCGTCAGGTCGCCGCGGTCGAACGAGCAGCGCCACATGTTGCGCACGCCCAGGGCGTAGACTTCGGGCCGCGCGGCGGGGTCGCCCACGAACGGGTTGTCGCGCGGGATGCGGTAGAGCGGGCCGCGCTCGTTGCGGTCCACGTCGATGCGCAGCACCTTGCCCAGCAGCGCCGACCTGCGGGCCGGGGTGGGGGCGGGGGGGGGGGGAACAGGGCGCGGCTCAGGCTCGCCCAGTGCCAGGGCTCGCCCCAGGGCACCAGGGCGGCCCGCGGCAAGTGCCAGGCCAGGTCAAGGCCAGCCTGCGCTGTGGGGCCAGAGACCCTGGTTCAGGTCCTCCCTAGCTGCTTACCAGCTGGGTATCCGCATTCATTCATTCATTCATTCATTCATTCAGCATTTACTGGGCACCTTCTTATGTGCCAGGCTACGGGAAGGGAAGGGTTGGACATACATACCCTCTATTGTCCCATCTAATCCTCACCACCAAACTTTTAGGTCGGTGAGTACTACTGTGATCCCCCCTTAGAGATGGGGCAGCTGACCTCAGAAAGGTCACATAATGTGCCCTGTTGTCATACCGCTAGTAAAGAGCAGGCTGGGATCCAGCCCAGACGGCGGGACCACAGAAACCCAAGCTCTTGGCCACAACACTCTTTCCAACTTCCCCATGCCTGTCTCCTCTCTGTCGTGTTAGGGAGCTCCCTCACCCTCCTGCCTCCTTACAGGGTTGTCCCAGGGAATGAAAACACTCCTAAAAATGACTCAGATGTACTGTTTTCTTCCAACACCCAGGACAGTGACCGGCATGTAATAGGTGCTCATTCAGTGTTTGGCGAGTGAATGGCTTGCAACCAAAGTCAAGTGCACCGTACAGAAGTACAGGGTAGGGCTCGGGGGCGGGGAGAGAAAACACGGCAGAGCTCAGCAGGAAATGGGAGGCTGAGGTTCTTGCTTTCTCTCTCACCATCAAGGGCATCGGGGAAAGAACCACCCCATGTGAGTGAGCCAGACAGGCCTCAGAAGCCCTTCGCCCTATACTCTACACCCACCACCCCTACCTCAAAGATGAGGCCACCCAGCCTGCAGAGGGGACAACTTGCCCTCTCCCCCAGGCAGCTCTGGGCTGGAACCTAGGCCACTCCCATGGTACCAGGCGACATCTGCTTCTGGGGCCCCGGGAGTGAGGAGACCTCAGAACTCGTGCTCCAGAGCACCTCCTTACCACCCGGCTCTTCTCCTCGCTGGGAGCACCCCCCTCCCCACCCCGGCTGCTTGCGTGCACATTTGCTGCAGCTGTGTACCCTCATTCCAGCCTAGCGTCCGCACCCAAGCCTCCAGCTCACCATCAGACATCTCACCAGTGTCTTCTCTAACCGTGTAAGAGGCTCCCACCCAAAGATGCCCCACGGTTAATCCCCCATTGTGGTCTTTTAGGTCTTGCCCCAAGGAGTCCCCCTGACACGCTCCAGCCTGCTCGGCACCAAGCCGCAGATCACACCCCTGAGCCCACACGCTGCGCAGCCGGCTTCACGATGGAAGTGGGCAAAACTCATAGCAGCAAAATAATGTTTTAAGTTCTGTCCAATTACCCACAAATCCTTAATTTCTGTTTTCCCCACTACATCGCTAAACACATCCCAAACATGAGAAGGCTGCAGTGATTCTTACACTGTCACGTATGAACGGGTGCATCACAGATTGTGAACACTTTAATTACTGTAATCAACATCATCCTCGCTATTTTTACTTTCTGGGCTAAGGAAGGTTTTGTCATTTTAGCTAAGAGAATGGAGGAGGCTGCCCTAGATATCCTCATTGACTGTGTGTGTGTGTGTGTGTGTGTGTGTGTGTGTGTGTGTGTGTGTGTGTAGTAGAATATTGGCAGGCCATCTGCTCAAGCCAAGAAGTAAGTAATGACAGCAAGACTATGCCTCAGTTTCTGGGCCATTGCTGGTGACCCTTGGGGCAGAAGACCCTCAGGCTCATACAGCCCCGCTCCGGCCAGCTCATGCTCCCCATTTGGTCTGGGAAGGCTCCCTTTCCTTCCTCTGGTTCAAGCAGGGCTGGACTGACTTCCAGCTCTGTGATATCCCTTATCAGGCACTTGTGACAAGTGGGTTCTGGGCCTGGCCCTCCATAAACAAGATCACCTTCACTCCTCACGACAAGCCTCCCCCTGGAGATTATATTCTTCTCTCTAACTGGTGAGTGGAAGTGACTTGATGGGGGTCCCCCACTGGCTAGCGGCAGACTGAGCTGGGGCCCAAAACCCTTTCTACTGCCCTGTGCTGCATGGCTGAGGAAGGAACTCCCCCTCCAGAAGAGTATGTGAACCAACCCACCGGCCAGCCAAAAGCAGAACATACTTGTTTTGGGCATTTCCAAACTTTCCAAAGGGGTCTCCAGCCATCCCGCCATCACCAGTAAAGATGTAGAGGTACCCATCGTCCCCAAACAGCAGCTGGCCCCCGTTGTGGTTCGAGGCTGGTTCTTCAATCTCCAGGATTATCCTAAAAGAAGATAAGCCACCCCCACCAAACAAACAAACAAACACCAACCTCAGCCAAAAACACAAAACAAGATCACAGCAATAAAACCTCCTCTCTCTTGGATGCCATTTCACAGTTGAAAAGACTTTTCATATATTTAATAGCAAGTGATTTTTTATAAGGATCAAGTAGGCTGGGCAGGGATAATTCACTCCATTGTGCTGAGTAACCAGAGGCTCAGAGAGGTTGAGCAACTTGCCCGAGGTCACACAGCCCACAGGTAGCAGAGCTGGGACTAGAACTCAGGTCTTCCTACTGCTCCCCACCACTATCTCCCCAGTTATGATCATGCAAAACTGTTGACCCAGTCACTGGCACAACTGGTTTCTTCATAATTGTAGCTACCCACATACCAGCCACTTAAGATGAGCAATTTCTACACACCCCTGTCGTTCATTGTGTACTGTTAATTTCTAAGGAGGTGCGCTGCACGGTGTGGGTTGTGCTCAGCTACACACTCAGCCCCTCGGCCATCTTCTTTACTGCCGTGGCCCTTCCGCTACCTGGCCGGCCCCCAAGCTGGCTTCTGGTTAGGGCTTGCCAGTGGAGAGCGGAAGGGCACGAGGGAGAAGTCACGCTTCGTCGGCTTCTGGTGCTGTCTCCGGAAGTGGTCGATGCAGGAATGGGAACAGTGGCTCTCGAAGATGGACTCTTGGGCTCCACCCAGACATCTTGGAACCAGGAGCAGCAAACTTAGCAATGCAAACATCTCTTCCCTTCTGTTCCCCTGGCTTCTTGCAATTACTAATCTTCCGGTAACTTTGACCTTTCCCTTTCCCTTCTCCAGATCCTCCCAATACCTTTGTAGCCAACTCCCTGTTTGTGAGGTCTTCCAGGATTGGTCATTGACTTACTAATCCCTTATTAATACAGATAAGAAAAACCAAGGCACAGAAAGGTCAAGTAAATTGAACCCAGGACTTGAGGGCTCTAGGACCAAGACTGGAAGCCTTTCCGTTGAGGCTAACACACAAGACTTGGGGGGTGAAACAGACCCCCAAACTCCAAGTCTTCCCTGGAGAGGACAGCTCAGATTGCGAGGTGTCCACCTACCATGGGGATCTCAGCCCTGGGAACAGGGACTGACCGCTGACTCAGGCAAGGATGACCACTCGGTCCTGGCCCCTCCCGGAGCCCCTAACTCTTCCCGTGGGAGTCAAGTTCCAGGCTTGTACTTGACAGGTCCCCAGAGGACCCTCACTGAACACCCACTCTGAAATAGGCTCCTCTGTATACTGTGTGTCCCACCTTCAGTTTTTATCAGGAATCACTTTTTAAAAGTCACGAGTGAAGCACATCCATTCGGTCCCTTTGCTTCTCCTCTGTGAGAGCCGTGTGATAAACTTGGTGTTTCTTGGAGAACGGGTTGTACAGCCACGTGTCAGATAATGAGAATTAAGTTTACTCCTTTTGCTCTGGCTGCCAGGATGCTCAGAGTCAAAATTAATGCTGTATGACAAGACCTGTATTAGCCCTCATGTTAACCAGCCTATTTGATTCCTTCTCCTTTTTATACTTTCAATGTCAAGATTTTACAGTTTTGTTAAATGCCCAATGTGCCATTGTTTGCTTATTTGCCTCAGGTTAGTCCCGGTTCGGCCCCTACCTGCTCTCTACTTCAGAGACTCAGATCCTGCAAACTACACTTCCCATGCTCCTTTGCTGGCTGGCCTCCAGCTAGGGTCAGCCAATGGAAGGCACTGGCAGGAGACTGGAAGGTGGGAGGAAGGGAGAAGACAGGGTATTTCTCCCCATCTCTCTCTCTCTCTGCTTGGCCAATGTCTTGGCCATAGATGTCTTGCCCCTCCTCCATGGCCCCAGGTCCCCTGCCCAGGCCCACTGTGGTTCCAGCGGCCACTGAGTGGCCCCAGCTCTGGGGCTCTAGCAACCCCATCTTCTCACCTTGTCCCTCCAGCCTAAAAGGTGGAGGCAGCTTCCTCCCGTTGGGAAATTCAGGGTTACCTTACTTCCTCCCCAAGATGCTCTTTCATTTCTAAGGCCTGAGTAGCTAATTCCCAGTATCCAGTCCTGCCTGTTGACCTATCTACCTGGCACAGGGTTTATTTTCCTGTTGGACCCAGACTGACGCATACGCCCTTCCTGCCAGGTTAGGTCAAAGCGGTTTTGAGAACAGTGGGGGGCGCAGATAACACGCAGAGAGGAGGCCCGTGTTGAGAGGAGTGGATAAGCCTGCTGGGGGCAGGGGGGCAGAGGGTCCAGGGGAGGAGAAGCGGAATGTGGGGCTCAGAAGACAGACACACCCGGGGATTCCAGCTCTGATGTTTCCCAGCTGCGTGGCCTGGCAGGTCATTTTACCTCTCCAAGCCATTTCCTCACCTGGGAAATGGGGAGTATACTACTACCCCCACTGGGCGTGAGGAGAATCGAACGGAATGAACCACTTACAGTGGCTGATCCAGGAGTCTAGACATGATCCTGGGATGCTGTTTTGCGACTGTTCTTCCCCTGAGCCCACAACACGGCTTAGCCCCCTCACTGGAGGTGATCAAGGATTTAAGACGGGTGCAGGCACACCCCATAGATTGGTCCGGTCCCACTGGTGCGAACTGGTGCCGGCCAGCCAAATATCAGCCCTGCCCACCCCCCTGTCACCCCCCCTGGGGGAAAGCACCTCTCAGAGCTGTGGTCCACGGTGTTCATGTCATCTGCGGAGACCTGGAACTCGCTGATGCGGATCCACTCGTCGAAGCCAAACCCCACTGAGTAGTAGACGTAGAGCTTGCCGTTGTGCCGGAAGCTGGGGTGGAAGGCTATGCCCAGGAAGCCCCGCTCGTCACCCTCCCAGGGTGAGGTGAGCACGGCCCGGCTGATGTTCAGGAAGGGCTTCTCCAGCCGGGAGCGGTCCGGCAGGTAGGCCCACACCAGCCCCACCTGCTCGGCCACGAAGAAGCGGTGGGTGCCATCCCGGGCGTGCACCATGGCCACGGGGTTGCGCAGCCTGTTGGCCACCTCTTCCAGGCACAGCTGCAGGCAGCCCTTGGCGTCGGCCACCACGCGGCCCAGATTGGAGTTGAGGTTCTCATTGACCAGCAGGTGGGGGAAGCAGTAGTCCGTGTCGTCCAGCGACAGGTAGCGGCAGAACTTGGCCTGGTTGCCCTCCAGGGCCCAGAGTTCTCGGTCCGGTGACAGGTGGCGGAACAGGCCCCGACACGTCTGCCACATGTCCAGACAGTAGTCCTCGCAGAGCCCGGGCACGGTCCGCAGGGGCGTGGACGGGTCCTCGGCGTCGTAGAGGTGGGCCGCGTACGGCGAGCATTCCTGCAGAGACAGGGCCGGCCCAGGGATGCTGTGTGCAGGTGCACACCAGCTGTGTGACCACTGGCTGGGTACCCACCTCCTAGAGCCTCAGGCTGCTGGTCTATAAAATGGGGGCAACGTGGGCGCCTGGGTGGCTCAGTCGTTAAGCGTCTGCCTTCGGCTCAGGTCATGATCCCAGGGTCCTGGGATCGAGCCCCACATCGTGCTCCCTGCTCTGCGGGGAGCCTGCTTCTCCCTCTCCCACTCCCCCTGCTTGTGTTCCTGCTCTCGCTATCTCTCTCTCTGTCAAATAAATAAATAAAATCTTTAAAAATAAATAAATAAATAAATAAATAAATAAATAAAATAAAATGGGGGCAACGCCATCTGTCCAGCAACACGGGAAGTCTCACTGCGGGCAGCAACCCTCAGCTTCCTATCTCCTCACCTCTTCCTCTTGCCTTAATGTTCCTATTAGCACAAATAACCACAACTATTACTATTAATACTGGCGGCAGCAACTGCCCTGGAGCACCTACTGTGTGCCAGAAAAGGTTGGAGGCAGTTTTATATACGATGCCCTATGTCTGCCCTATATCTGCGTGACTTACTCCTTCGCTTTACCTAGCTCCCCACACAAGGGACACCACCTCGGAGACCACACATCCATCACCCCCGCTACCTCCTAGCCTCTGACTCTGCTTGAAAACAACAACAACCCCCCCCCAAGAAACCCCAAACCCAAAAGCTTACCATGACCCGGTATCATAATAAAAATTAACATGTTTGCGTGTTTACTGTCTGTCTTCCTTGGAACCTAAATCCCACGAGGGCAGGAGTTTGGCCTGTCTGGTCACTGTGTGTCCCAGAACCTAAGACAGTGTCTAGCACATCGCAGGCCCAGAGTGAATGCTTAGGGAATGTGCTGGATACTAACTTACCCGACCTGCCCTTAACGGTGAATGGTGCTCCTATCTCTGTTACTCAATCTTCACAAGGGCCCATGAAGGGGAGAGTGTTACAGATGGGGAGACCGAGGCACAGGCCAATGTCATTCAGTGCCATTGGGTCAGCATGGAGGAGTCGGGGTTTGGTCTGGGGTCGACTCCGCTCTCCCCTGTACCATGGAGGCTGGCTCATGTACACGGGCAAGGTGGTAACACCCATGCCCACATGTCCCCCTGGCCCCAGACCCCTCTTCCTCCATTGCTCAGGCACCTCAGGCAGGGTCCTGGGCTGTCCTCTGCTCTGGGGAAGATGGAACAGCCGCCCTCGGTCTCCCCAGCCTCCCACCGAGGGCTCCCCCTCTGATGAGACACTGGGGACGCCACCCGGTACCCATATGGGCACGATCTGGAATGCAGAGAGGTTCACGTCTCCTGGGGCAAAACTTTGAGCCCTGAGAGGAGGGAGCTGTTGGATAAAGTGTTCTGCTCTCCTCCCCACCCAGCAGACGGTCCTGATCTGCAGGTGGGATGGCTTCTTGGAGCCACGCTCCCACCAGTTCAAGCATGCGTTGCTCTGAGCAGTCGCCAGCCCAGAGCTGCCTCCTTGGCTCGGCTTTCCCTGGACCCCATCACTCGTGTTTCTGGGTCCTCTCACCCCAAGAAGGAAATGACCCACGAACTTTGCCCCAGGTTCTGCTTTCTGGGAACCCAGGTAGAGGTGACAAACCTGACCAGACCTCTCCCCAGCTTCTAGCCTCCTGCACCCACCCCCCCAGAACTGAGAGGATCCCCCAATCACTCCCCCCTCCAGCCTGAGAGCTAACACAGGTACCAGCACCCGCTGATCCAGCTCTGCCCACAGCTCTGCCGTCCGCTCCCACCTCGGGCCCACCTTCTGTTTCCTGACCCTCCCGGCCAGTTTCACCTCTGAGCCTCAGCACACATTGTTCCCCTCATAAGCATGCCCTTCCCTCAAACACAGTGCTCTATCTGTCCTTGAATAATAACCATGGCCAGCCTGGAGAAACAGTACTAACAATAATAACAACCCTGGGCACTTGGGCAGATCATGGGCCAGGGCCTTGCTGGGTGCTCCAGTGAATCTACATTTTCCCCCCAAGGCAACTGACTGCCGCCAGGAGGTATATTCTTAGTCCCATTGTACAGACGGGGAAGAAGAAGCTGAGAAGGGAGCCCCTAATGAAGGTCACGGGACAGACTGAACTTAGTGGGGTTGGAGGGTGGGAGAAAGGGAAAAGCCGGGGCATTTGCCCAGTCTACTGGCTGGCTCCTAATACCACCTCCAAAGCCTAGTTAAGTGTGCCCCACCCCTGCCCAGAGTAGGGGCCTCAGCTCTGCAGGCTCTATAAGCACCTCCCTCGGTTAGAGCCTCTGACCTGAGCTGAGGTCATTATTTATGTCTGTGCCTGGCACCCTCTAGCCCCCCTGCCCTGCCATGAGCTCAGCAGGCCAAGGTCTGGACTGACTCAGCTCTGGACCCCGAGAGGCCTCGGGGGATGCTCGTCCCGCACTAGGGGAGGCCCTCGCAGCCACACACTCGCCTCCTCACTGGCAGGGCCAGGCTGGGTTCCAGCAGGAGGCCTCGAGGGGCAGAAGGTGGCAGACTGCCCTCTTGCGTGTGCGTTCAGGCTCTGGGCCAGGGGCGACTTCCACCCTGTAAACAACTGTGGTCACACCACGGCCTGTCCTCCTTAGTGCTACTGTGAGGCTGAGGGCCACTTAGCGATGTGTGGTTCATCTCTGGTCAGTCACTGTCCCGGGCCCAGACGAAGAGACCACGTTTCACATGTCCCCCTTTGCCGATGAGGCCTCTGTGCAGCACCATCTCTCCCACGGTTCCCCGGGAGCCTCCTATGCGTCCAGCCAGCAGCTGTGGATGGGCCAGGAGGGTCTGGGTGCACACATGCCTCACTTAATTTTTGCAAGGTAGGGTCACTGTGACTCCCGTTACATGATGAGGAACTGAGGCTCTAGGAAGGCCATGTGCCAAGAAGTGGTCACACCAGGGCTCAGGCTCAGCCCTCACGATGTGCTGACTGGGGCTCTTCCCAGATTAGTCAGCAGTGTTTCATTCGGCAAGTGTTTACTGGACACGGACTGTGAGCCAGACACCATCCTCAGCTCCAGAGACACAATGGGAAGCAGAAGAGACTTCTGGAAGCCAGTCTCAGTGCCCTCCACTCATCAAAGCCCAGCCCAGAGCTAGAGAGGGAGCCCAGAGGGCCGCCAGGGAGCCAGGCTGGAATTTGAGCATCCATGCTTCCAGCGCTGGGCCTGGCAAGCCCTTACTCGTGGCCTAGGCACCCTTACTTACACACAGTGCAAACCTGGTGCTCAGACCTGAGTAACCCAAAAGCAGGACGGGGCAGGGGGGTGTAATGATAGCTGCTGGCAAGGATGCTCAGCAACTGGCCCCACAGCAGTCCGCGGAGGAGGCAGGAGAAAAGCCAAGAAAAACCGATCTAGTATCACACTGCTCAGCCGCCTGGGCCATCCAGCGTGGGAGCAAACAGCTTGCTGCCCTGAAATGGCCACTGTGGAGTTGCTGACATCCATGACTCATGGGCCTGAGTCCCGGAGGTCTCTAATGTCTAGCACCTATTCCTTAGGAAGCCTGACTCTTTGTACGCAGTGTTCTCTTGGGAGGGTATTCCCTCCTCTCCCATTTCCACATCCGCCAAACTCCTATTCATGACTCCAGGCCTAACTGAGAAGTCTTCTCTGACTCCTCCATCCTCCCAGGGCCCTGAAAACAGGCAATATGACAAAGTCATTAAGGGAAGGGCTTTGGAGTTAGAGTGCCCTGGAGACTGAGTTTACTGTTCCCTGCGTGACCTTGGGCAAGTTCCTTAACCTCTCTGTGCCTGTGTCTTCATCTGTAAAAGGGGGAAGGAATTCCAACCTCATAGTTGTTGGGAGGAATAAATGAGATGATGCATGTGTTGTTCAGTAAATGCTCAAACAGTATGAACTATCAAGATGCAATGCAATGTTTCCTCTTCCAGGAAGCCTTCCCTGACTTTTCCAGGGAAAGTGCAGCCTTTGTCCCCATGCCCCATGGTGTTCAGTCACCCTTGGGAAGCCTTTTGTGCATTGTGTGTCTGTCTCCTGACTTGAACAAGGGGACTTTTGAGGCTGGGCTTGTGACTTGCCAACTGCCTCTGGGCCCAGGCCCCAGCACAGGGCCAGCTCCTAACAGGCTCTGGGGAAACGTCTGTCCTGTACATGCACCTGCAGAGCATGTTCCACGTAGATTTCCATCAGAAACCAGACTTTGATGCCTTCAGGTTATGCAGAGAGGCAAGCTCAGTTAACTTGGAAGGTTGTGGTATGGATGCTAGGAACCCGGGTACCATGTGTCACAAGCTGCCTTTTCTCCTCTTGATGACACAGGCATCCATTGGATGAGGGCGAAGCCCTCGGAAAGAGTCTGAAGGGACCAGGAGGGACAGTTGCCCTCCAGCTAAGGAGCCATCTGGGCATCCGGAGGAGTTGCGGGTGCCAGATGGGGGCAGGTTCTGGAGGGGACTGTGGGAGTGAGCATGTTTTCATGGTCTCTCTCCTGTCTGGAGCCAGTCTCCCTACAGCAGATGCAAATGCTTGAAGGCTGTCATTGACTGAACCTTGTAAATAAGGCACCGTGGCCACCTCCTGGGGTGGAAATCAGGAGGTGCTGAATCCAGACACGGCCTTGGCTCACAGACAGCATGGTCCTCCCTCCAGCACTCTCCTGCCCTCCCTTGAGGCCCTGCCAGAGAAAGTGTGATCCAATCTCCACTCCTCTCCAAGTTCACTCCAGACATGAGGTCACTCTCAGAGACGCCTGGGGTAAAATGCTAGTGGCCATTCCACCCCTGGTTGCTCAAGGCCAAGCCATGCTGGGAAGATTCCCAAGGTAGCAGGACTGACCCTTCCCTTCCTCTTCTGAGGACCCACCCACCTGATTTGCTCTGCTGAGCCTGGCACATAGTAGGTGTTCAATTAACAAATGTGGAGTGGCTACATGAACCCAGCTATGTGACCAGGGGTGGGAGGGGCTGGGTTCCAAGGAACCCCCAGGCTAGTGAAGGAGGCAGATGCTTGACCATACCACTCTGGCTCCCCTGAGATGCACAGCACTGGGGCTGAGCAGAACTTACCGCCCCCCCCCGACCTTTGCTTTCTGGCGCTCCTCAGGGCCCCCTTCCTCATCCACTCCTAGCGCCTCTTATTTCTGACCCAGATGGCCCACCCACACTGGCACCAAGTGTGGTCCACGTGCCCACCATGGCCATAACCGAGCTGTGTGACCACTGAGCAATCTCTGCCTCTCTGGGCTTTCCCTGAATCGGCCTCTGGGCCCCACTCCGTCCCTGCCTAGGGCCGAGAAGCCAATGGGGGCCAAAGAGGCACTAGAGAAATCTAACCAGAATCAACCACTGAGCCCTAAGTATGTGCCCTTTCGTCTGTGTGGCAACTCCGAGGGACGGCTAAGAGTGCCCCCATTTTAAAGATGACACAATGATGTACAGTGGTGACCTGCCCAGGGTCACACAGCCAGGAAGTGGCAGGGCCAGGATTAACCCAGCAAGTCTGACTCCAAGCCAGCCCTCCTGCCCCTGCCCTGGCTGGTTGAAGGGTTGAAGCTACGCTGGCCAGCAGGACCCTTCCACCCAGGCTTCTCACTGCCTGCGTGGTGGGCCAGGGCCAGCCTAAGGGCTTCCTGGCCTTGACTCCATTTCCCCAGGGATTCTGGTCAGTCACTTGGGAATCAGACCCATGCAGGAGAAAAAGAAACAGCTAGGGCACAATCCGGAGCCGGCAGAAGTAGGGGCTCTGTCCTCAGAGGGGAGATGGGACAGAGAGGTTACACCAAAGGGATGTCACTCAGGTGGTCTGAAAGGACGAGAGCCCCTCTGCCTGGTGGGGGTGCCCCCAGAGAGAGGGCACAGCAGGAACCTCGGTAGGGGCATGGCAGGCCCGGCTCACCCAGGGTGTGAGCACCCTGCAGTTAGGTCCAGGAAGGGGGCAGGAGCTCGGAGACTGTGTCCTCAGGGCAGGGGAGGGGCCCTCATTGGGAGCAGTGTCCCCCACACCCCTCGGCAAACCCAAGTCCAGCGCATCAACCACGCTCCCTGCTCCTGGCAGGTCCAGGCTGCTCCCACCTCCCCTGGGGGCAGCACGGGCAGCACTGAGCGGGACAAAGGCTTCCCATCCTGGTACCCCCATAAGGGCGGGGCTCCTCGAGGCCAGGACACTGCGGGGCTGACTTTAGGAGGTCCCGGGACACAGGGGCCCCCAAACTCCAAGGGACTGATGACATCGGTGTGTCCGCCCCTCTTGTTCCCAAGGGGAAACTGAGGCTCAGAGAAGGCCCAAGTCACGAAACTTAATGAATGGCAAAGCCCGGCTCCCCGCCCCGCGCCGAGAACCCCGCCCGGGGCCTCAGGGTCCCAAGCCCGCCGCCCGCCCTCGATCGCCACCCGGCGGGGCTGCCCCCGCCGCCCTCCCGCCGGGCCACCGAGGCCCCGACGCGCTCCCGCTCACCTGGCACAGCAGGTCGAGCGCGTAGCCGGCGCACGCGGCCCACTCCGCGGCGTCCACGCGCGCCGCCAGGGCTCCGAAGCGGCGGGCCAGCGCCTCGTCCTGCTCCGGGGTGCAGCAGCCGAAGGCCGAGTACTGCGCGCAGAAGCGCAGCGGCTGCGGCGGCCGGAAGGGCGGCCTGAAGTCCAGGCACTGCGGGTGCGCCGCCGCCCCGAGCGCCCGCAGCGCCAGCAGGGCCAGCAGCGCCCCGGGCCCGGCCCGCCCGCCCGCCATGCCGCCGCCGGCGTCCCGCTCCGCCCCGGCCCGGCCCGGTCGGCGCAGGAGGAGGCGGGGGGCGGGCATCCCGGCCCCGCGCGCCCCGGGAGCC